TCCCTCCGGAGGACCCCCACCCAGTGGGCCTGGGACCCGGGGCTGGGCCCCAGGCTCTCCTCCTCCACCACTCAGGCCATGGACGACTTCCTGGTGGAGAAGTGGCGCAAGTACTTCCCAGGTGAGCTTCCTTCGGCCGCATGTGATCTGGGCCCAGCCTTGCCCCTCCTCCTCTTCCTCTCTTCTTCCCTTACCCCCCTCCTCCCTCCTCCCAGCTTTGGGTCACTGCCCCGTTGACTGGCCCCTTGGGAAGCAGGCCTGGCCGGGCCAGCAGCCTCGGCTCCGTGGGTGAGGGCGGTTCGCCTGGGCTTGGGCCACTGGGGCCTTTATGGCTCCAGAACTCAGCAGAACCGAAAGGCCGTTGTCCTTATCATCATGAGGCGCCATCGGGAGCGCTGTGTTGTAGGCCGGGTGTTTCATGTAAAGTTTTTCATTTAGGCCTGTAACCCTCTGAGGTCGTCATTCATTTTTTGTTGTTTTTGTTAATGTTTTTACTGATGTTTAGAGAGAGGAAGGGAGAGGGATAGAGAGATAGAAACATCAATGAGAGAGAAACATTGATGGGCTGCCTCTTGCACTGGGGATTGAGCCTGCAACCCAGGGATGTGCCCTGACTGGGAATCGAACCGACTGGAAATGGAAACAGAAAAGTAGATTACGTTTTGGAGATGAAATGGACAGGGTGACTCCTGCCTCCCACCTTTCGCTTCCAACAGCTGAAGGTCTCCCTGTGTGTAGGTTCTCCTTGGGAGGGGCACTGCCTTTTCTGTTGTGAGGAGGCAGAGGTGCTGGGGAGCAGGGGCGGCTGCTTGGGCGGGCGGCTGAGGCTCAGGCCCAGCTGGCCCCTGTCCTGAGCCATTGCTTCCTGCTCCCCAGCTGGAAGCCCCAGCCTCCGCAGCAGCCCTGTGCCCTTGGAGAACAGGCTGGGCTACGTGTCTGCCAGGTAAGACTCCCTGCAGCTCTGGCGCCACCTCTGAGGGGAGCAGAGCTCAAGGTGGGGCAGCCCTGAGGGTCAGGCAGGCCTGGGTCCCAGCCGCCCCTCCGCACAGCCAGAGGAGAGTCCCGGAGCCCAGCTCCGTGAGGAAGTGCCCTGTGGCACCTCGGGGAGGAAGCAGCCTGGCCAGCCCTGGCACAGCCCTCGCGTGGCCCTCCAGCTCTCCAGCCCGGAGTGGCTTTGCCCACAGTTCCTTGCCTCCCCAGTCCTGTAGCAGCATCTGGAGGAGGGGGGCGCCCTGTGGGGGAGACAGGTGGGCCAGCATTTGAGCCTGCTTATCCTGTTCCTGGCCACATCCCCCCCCCCCCCCCCCACCTGCCACAGGCCCAACCATTAGCACCCCCCACCCCTCTGACCAGTGGGAGCTGATGCTGGGCGGGCATTTGCTGATGAGATGGGACCAGGATCTGTGTGTGTGGAGCCCACAGTGTTGATGTCAGGAGAACCCAGGTGGGGGGGGTGGGGGCGGGGGGGACAGTCCCGAGGGCCTCCTGCCAGTGGGGGAAGCTTTGAATGGCTAAAGCCACCCCATAAGCCTGTAGCTGATGTTGGGGGAGGGGGTGATGTGCTGCCTTTGGTCACCGAGTCACAGGCCCTCCCCTGGCCCTCCTGCCCCTGCCTCCTCCTTCCAGGGAGCAGCTCCGCCTCCTGCAGCATCCCCACTCCCACGTCCCCGAGGTGGGCAGCGCCAGTCTGCAGGGCATGATCGAGGCTAACCGGCGGTGGCTGGAACACTACAGGAATGACCCCAAGTTATATCCTTTCAGCCAGCTCTCAAACCCTGGCCCCTTCCTGCTGTAGCCGGGCTGGCTGAGCGGGGCGGCTGTGTTTGTGCCCTGGGGGTCCGAGGATGATCCTGTTGGGCTTCCTTCCCTTCCTTCCCTTCTTTCCCTGGCCTTTCCCGGTGCTCAGCTGCCTGCAGTTTTCCTTCACCTTGTGGCCAGGCATCTGTTCTTAGTGCCCAAGCCAGCAGCCTCGGGCCTCCTGCAGCTGAGCCTGGATGAGAACAACAGGCTGCAGGTGAACCGCTACTGAGGCTCGAGCGGCCGTGTGGGCCCCCGCATCTCCTGCTCCCAGGCCAGGGGCTGAGGAGGGGCCTGCACCTGCCTCGGATGAAGCTCTACAGCGGGGGAAGCGGGCTGGGTGGAGAGGATGGCAGAGCTGAGAGCTAGGAGCCACCTGCAGCGACCACGAGCGGACTGCAGGGTGACCGTGGGACGTCTGTGAGCCGCTGTGAGGATATGGCAGCGCTGATGTGGGGCCCCCGGGACATGGGCACCTTCGGGGAGGGGGCATCACCGGCGTTGATGTCAGAGGCCCAGGGATCCCTGTGGAGCGAGGTGAGCCTGCACCTCCCTGCAGGGCTCCGCACAGTGACATGCGCAGTCCTCACTCCATGAGCAAGGCCCCAGCGTCCTGTGTCCTGTGCCCTGTGCCTGGGATGCTGTCTCTCCAATACCTCAGCACATGAGCTCAGGCCATTTCTCTCTTTTCTCCTCCTTCCCTTTTTTAAAACGTCCGCTTTCTTGAGTTCTCTGTTTCTCCTTTTGACTATCTCAGGATTGGGCCCAGCCCTGCCGAGGGTGCTGGGGGCCCCCCTTCCCTCAGCCGCACTGTGCTGTCCCCAGGGCACCCTTCCCTTTGCTGGGCTCTGTGCAGAGCCCTCCCCGTGGCTTCTCAGGTCTGCAGCACACAACTCAGTGAGAGCCGCCCGGGAAAGCCGGATGGCGCTGGTGCTCTCGCCTCTCACCCCTGGGTGTATCCACGTGTGCTTGTTTCTAGCTGTTTTCTGCTGTGCCCACCCTGCTCAGCCGGGAGACTGGGTCTAAGGAGGTGGGGGCAGGGCCGGAGCGGGGCCTTAGAGGGAGGGGTCTTGTGCCCCAGGAGCCACTGCCGATCTGCACAGCCCCCTGCACCCCTCTCACAGCGGCCCCCTGGGGTCCCCAGACACGTCTCTGACATCTGTCTCGGTGTAAAGAACAGAACACTCCCTTCTTCTTGCCGGGAAAGCTGTGGGGTTGCCCTGGCCTCTATGCATGGAGACCGACTCTCCGCCCTCCCGCCACGAACTTCTTAGTCCCGGAATAAGAAACCAGACCCGATGGCTTTTATCCACCCTGCGTGCTCAGCTCCGTCTGCCACACAGAAAAAGGTCCGTGGCGGATCCTGTGGGACTAGCGTATGTGTTGCACCCTCTCTGTAACCAGCCTGTGTTTGTACATCAATTAAATCTCTGTTGGTCCATTTTCTACAAGGCGGCTGTGTGAGTGTGTCCTCGCCAGGGCCTCTGCCTCCTCCCTCTTAAGAACAGAGCTCAGTGGGTAGAGTGTCAGTTTGTGGACGAAAGGGTCCCGGGTTCGAGTCCAGGCAAGGGTACGTACCTTGGTTGCGGAGCTGCTCCCTGGCCCGGGCCCTGGTAGGGGCTTGTGCAGGAGGCAACCAATGGATGTGTTTCTCTCACATTGATGTTTCTCTCTGTCTTTCCCTCTCTCTTTCAATCTCCCTAAAAATCAGTGGAAAAATATCCTCGGGTGAGGATTAACAACAACAAAACAGCAGAGGGAGAAGTTAATGTTCACAGAACATCTAGGAAGCTGATCTGATCATCACAACAAACTGGTGATGCAGGGATTGCCATCTTCATTCCTATGGGCGAGGAAATCAAGGCTCGGGCACCTTTAAGTGCTGGGGTCCTGGAGAAAGTAGCTGAGCTCCCTACAAGGCAGATCCCTCCCCTCCCTGTGCCCTGGGAGGTGCTGACCTCTCCACCGCTCCCTTCATCCCCCTCCTATCGCACTGCCTGCCAGATGCAAGAGAAACCCCTGGAGTCCTAGGCAGGCAGGTAGGGGGTATTGAGCACCCTACACACACTGCATCCGTTCTTGGGTCTGCAGCAGCAGGAATGCATGGGCGCCAGCTTGAGATGGCCCTGTGTCATGGGTTTGCATAAGAAAACCAGCTTCCAGAGACGCATGCGCACTGACCTCGGCGCCTGTGGTCCCAGGGCCCCACACACTCTGATGGAGGGAGAGAAGGGAGCAGGGAGCCTTTGTGGAGCACCCGGGTGCCAAGTGCTGGCATGTCACTTCATGCCGCCCTTTGCCCTGCGCGGTTGGTATTATTTTGTAGACGAGGAAACGTAGGCTCAGAGAGGTTAAATGATGATCTCAAGGTCACCCAGGTCCACGTGTCTCCGAGAGCCAGGTTCCAGCTACCACACTCCCGCCCTACCTCAGCCGCTCCTGTCTTCCCCTCACCTCCTGCGGGGCTGAAGACGGGGTCCCAGGAAGGGGGTGGCTTCCAGCTGAGGAAGCAGCCCCCGCCCGGGCCAAGGTTTACAAAGGGACTTTTTCAAAAGACTCCTAAACTGTCCCATCCCTCCCTCATGGATTCTCGACGCTGCCTGGGGAGTCTAGAAGCAGAGTTGGAGCTGCCGAGCCTTGAGCCTTGCGCTGACAAGCTCAGCGCTTACTGGCCTGGGCCAGAGGCCACGACAAGACCGAGCTGTCCAAGTTAGCGTGTGGCAGGCGTGCGGCTAGAGCCGGTAGTCAGTTCTGAAACTTCCAGCCTGAGTCTCAGAAATATTTTTAAAGGACGTTTGTTTTGAATAGGCTCATGTTCACAGGCTTGATGCTCAGATGGTGCAGAAGTCGCTCCATCCATGGGCCATCTCGTTCCTCCTTGAAGGTCACAAATGGATCAGTTCCTCCTGGAGATTTTATGCAAAGACAAGGAAAGAGCAGGCTGCTCTGCTCTTCCCGTAGCAGGTGGGCTTAGGGTCATCCTAACCCAGGAACAGAGGCTTCCCAAAGCTCCAAGACGCCCCTGACTGCTTTCTTATGGGAGCAACACTGGGAATGATAATGGCCCCACTCCACCCCTCAACTGCACGGAAACTTCCCACAGGACGGCAGTGTGGTGAGGAGCTCTGGCCTTAAGACACCCCCTGGCTCTGTGACCTGAGCAAGTGCCTTCCCTGGTCCAAAGCTCAAAGCCTGAGTCCACGTCCAGGGATGAAGCAGGGGCTGCCTCAGCTTCAGTGAGGATTCTGCTGTGTGGGGAGCTACCCTCACACAGAGCCTGAGATCGGGCCGGGCTGGGGAGGGGTACTGGGAGAGGGGGGTACTGGGTGGGGAGGGTGCTGTGGGGGGGAGGGGTCATTTCATGGGAGCCCCTGCCCGACAGGGATTGCAGGGGAATGTGGGGCTTAACCACCAGGAACTTGATTGTGACGGAGAAGGTGACGAGGCTCCCAACACCCGGCACTCGGATCTCAGCAGACTAGGTTCCAACCTGCAGCGCCCAGGTAGTCCTTCCATCCAGCGGCTTTGCTCATCTGCAGAACCAAGGTGCTGGTGCAGTCAGGCCAGAGGACTTGCCAGGCACAGGTCTGCCTGATTTGGGTCCTCAAAGGGTTTTGCTGGCCCTGGAGCCTGGTCTGCCCATGCCCAGGCAGAGAGCCGAGTCATAGCCCCAGTAGCTGCCTGCTGCACACCCCCTACTAGGGATCGAGCCCACAACCTGGGCCTGGGCCCTGACTGGGAATTGAACCATGATCTCCTGGTTCATGGGTTGATGCTCAAGATGCTCAACCATGGAGCCACACTAGCCGGGCAAGACAGAAAGAATTTAAAAAGCAGTAAGAGAAACAGATGAGTTACAAACAAGGGAACCCCCGTAGACTAGACTTCCTAACAGACACTTTTCAGGCCAGAAGAGAATGGGAGAGCTTATCTAACCTAATAATAGACAAACATGTAAATTGACCATACCTTAGCTATGCTAACCAGCCAATCAGGAGAGTATGCAAATTAACCCAACAAAGATGGCGGTCAATTTGCATACATAGGCTCCAAGCTGCGGAGCGAAGCCGGACGGCCCCGGGGCCAGAGCAGCGAAGCCGGAGCAGCGAAG